CTCAGCTGGCCACTCCAACGACGTTCAGTCACAAACGCAAACTTTTTCCGTTTTCTTTGCTGCTAGCTCGCAAAAAGCACCACAAACAACTTTTTAATCTGTCTTCAAAAGGTACTTCACCCTCTCCTAGAGACGTATGACGTGACATGGTTTTAGAAGTGTGAGTAGTAAAATGTATTTGGCGCCACGTGACGAGTGTGTGTCTGTGAGGTCCTTTTCGAGCGTGTTTCTCATATGTAATAACTAACGTGCCATATTCTAGATGGGTGAAGTATCTTTAACTGTAAACTAGCGATGAATTAACTCGTCTGTGGTTGATCTTCTGGGCTCTTACTTCAAGTCAGCCAAACTTGGATAGAAGGATTGGCTCTTCATGCGTGTCTATGGATGTACAAATACAGTTTGATTTGTTTTCTAGTTCGTCATAATGTTCATTTTATTTTAAATGATCAATTTCAGCTGGTCTGTTATTTCGTTTCTAGTCTCTTCGGTTGCCTCGGGGCACGTGTAACAAAAATTGTGCGTTGTTTTGTACCTTGCTGAGGACAACAAGTGAGTGATCTTCGTTTTCTCTGCCGAAGTTCGAATGCATCATGGAAAGATTTTCCTCACATTCCAGTACAAGGGACAACTTTTGTTCGTTTCTTCTTCTTTTTTTCCTTTAATATAATGTCAAAACGATGTTTTCTACCTTACTGCTGTTAGTGTCAGAAGATTGTTCGCTTGTGTCTTCTGGTTGTCAATTGACTGTGGAAATGGTGTTTAGACCGATCAGTGGGCGCTACTGATGAATATTCATGTTTTTTTGAATATGTGTCTGGAAAGATCAAATCGAGCGAGCCGCTCTGCGTGAATTAGTGTTACATGTAAGCTAAATCTTCCAGAATCGTATTTGAGACTCATGTTGTGTTTCTATGATTTGTCCTCTGATGACCTCTGACCTTCTAGTGCTTTACTGTAACAATCTCAGAATATCTTCCGTAGTCCATGCCTCTACCCATTTGGCTTTGTATATAAAAGCTGCTACTCAGTAACGTAGATGTTGTGCATTGAAATACGAACTCAAGGCTCACGAGAATACACATCATCAACCATTAATCAAACTTGGGCTCTTACGCAATATTTCTTTTTTTCTTATGCTTTTATGTTGAAATAATAGCTCATGATTAAGGAAGGAAGACAATGCATGTGTGGAGATTTGGACTCAAGAAGACACTCAAGACTCTAAGATGCCAAAACCATGTAAAGATGCTCTCTGCTGAAGAATCCTGTACGTGGGTTTTAGTTCATGTTCACCATTACATTTGTTTCAACTGATGCTCCAATAATTCCTCTTCAGTGTCAAAATAAGTAAAAACTGACTCTCACAGACAGGGTGTTTTATTTGTATGTTCTCAGTTTTTATATGAAAATGTACAGTTCAACCTGGAGGAGAGCGACATGGTCATTGAACTAAATTATGTGATTTGGATATTCCTCTGTGAATGTCGTACCTGTTTAAAGATGGTACCGTGTCTGATATTCTGACTGAAGTTCTGTAGGTCTAACTGTAGTTTCCTCCACCCCAACACCTGGTCCTCTGATACCTTCAGAGAAGGCAGCAACGTCGGTCTTGTTTAAATGGATAATGCCACCTTTCGTTCTTATCGATATTCTAGTAGTGTTAAAATGGAAAAATATGTTGATGCAAATCAAATTGAAATAAACATTTATTGATGTACACAACATCATAAGACTGGTTTGTCTCTGTAATATGATGGGCTAATAAGATGTCAACCAAGATCAACCCTACAGTTCCATGTACGTAAAATAACTTAATGTGTATTCTTATAAATGACCCTGGACCACAAAACCAGTCTTAAATCGCTGGGGTATATTT